CACGACTCCAATAGCGCCTGGTACTTGTTTCGTATATCTATGATCCACCGATTTATGACATCACATCCGGTTGCAGAGTTCCTGCTCTGTTTTCGCGCGAGGCACAAAGATGGACGCCCGATGCTATTTGGTTTCCTCGTTATTTTTACCCACAGGCTAACGGAATTATGTATCTTGAATGCCGAGAATGTTGAGAAGGTATCTAGCCGGCCTTTCAAGCAAATGTCATGACCAAACAAAGAAGATTTAGTATTATTTTAACGATAAATATCATGCAGCTGCGGGGAATGTCATGGCGAGTCTTGCGATGTTTCAAAACGAGTACCGTTAACGTTTTGCGGCTGTTGCGGCCTCTGATTTAGAGAAGTCATCAATCAAAATATAATTTCCTGAGCGGAATAGAATGGGGAAAACGTCGATGGCCACAGTTTAAAGTTTTCACCGCTGGAAGGCTGTATCACGCCCCGTAAAGTTGCACAAACTTCCACTCAACTGCATGGTTTTGAGGAATGCCATGGCGAGTCTTTCGCTGTTTGTAATCGTGCGTCACTCAAGCGGCTTCTGATTCATCGAAGTCATCAATCAAAATTGCCTATCCTGAGCTAAATACCTTGGCGAAAAAGCCTATGGTCACAGTTTAAAGTGTCCAGTGCTTGAAGGCTTTATCACTCGACGTAAAGTTGCTGAAAGCTCTACTCAGCTGTCCTGTTTGAGCAATGTCACGGCGAATCTTTCGCTGTTTCAAAGCGAGTGTCCGCTCAAGGTGTTGTGTTTACCGAAATTGTCAAACAAAATAGCCTATCCTGAGTGGAATAGAATGGAGAAAAAGCTGATGGTCACAGTCTAAAGCGTTGATTGTTGGAAGGCTGTATCACTCGTCGTAAAGTTGCGCAAAGCTCGTCTCGACTGTACGGTTTGAGGAATGTAATGGTGAGTCTTTCTCTGTGTCCAGGACGTAACATGCCGATCAAAGTCGATCATCGAAAACGTAGTCGATAAGTCAATAGTACTCGAAATTTGTCGATAATTGTCAATCGACAAGTCAAATTTGTCGATAGAAGTCGATAATCACAAGATTTTTAACTGTTTATCGATTTTATCGACAAATTTTTCAATCAGCTACGAAATTCAAGTAACCAAACCAATCATAGCTCGAATCACTTTTTTATGAAAGTGTAAAAAGCTCTAAAGTAAATCTGTATGGCAATAAAGCTAAATGAAAACCTGAACAACCAAGTGGTCTGTTATTCATTGTAGAATAGAATGTTTAAATTACCTCGAGAAATGATCGATTAACAGCTTCAGCTGAGCGAAATCGCGATCTGTAACATAACTCCCACCAACCTAGTTCCCAGAGTCTCTCTTGGCGGGAGAGATGAGAGATCCTGGGAACTCGAAGCCGTGTTTCTTAGAGGGGACAGAACGGGTCAAAGTTTAGACTGGATGCGGGAAAAAATCGAGGTCAGCAAAGTAATGCAAAGCAGTGATTTTACTCAGTTCAACATTTGACAAACACAAGCTGCGGCTACGACTCTTCTCCCTCTCCACTAGGTTGGCTAAATTCGCCGGGTTTGTATGCCCCTTGCTTCTCCTTGCGCCTATGATTGTTGTACCAGTCCGCAACCTACGTATGACAGTAAAAATACAACGAATTACGATTGCTCAGTATCAGAAAATATGAACCCGTGTATAAACAGTTAATCTCGCCAGATCTAGCCTTGTTCAGACCAAAACGACGTCAGTCACAGGTATTCAGCAGTACTGTTTATTAAATCTGGTTAAATCAGGGTGATTTAGTAATCTATAATCCCAGATAATCTACAATTAGCCTGCGAGCAAGCTCTCCTATTTGGGTAAGCAAAGTGAGCCTCGCGAGAACGCGGGCCCCTCGCGGCTTCGCCGCTCGCTCGCCCGTTCTCGCGAGACTCGCTTCACTCGCCCAAATAGGAGAGCTTGCTCGCAGGCTAATCTAAAGCCATTAAAGTGTGTACACAGTGTACAGCTTTCACCGGCTTTCACTAACCTGTCTTCCATCTAGCTTCAAGGCCTTTGCTGTTGTTTCCATCACAGCTTTGCTTGGTTTTCCCTTACTCGTCACAAACTCACTATCTAAAGTTGCAATCTGGACGTCGCTAAACCGCTTTCGCGGGTTGACGTGTTTTTTCCACGTGGGGCCTTTGCATCTTTGGATTTTAATCCTGGAAAAAAAAAATAGGAACAGAATACGGTAAATTAAATTATTGAGTAAATGACCTTTAAATAAAATGACCTTAAATTACCTGTGAAAATTCACCTAGCTTTTTACTGCTCTTTACTGTGAAATAGTAAAAGCAAAAACATGTTTCTCCTGATGGCAAGCCGACCAAGCGGCGTTAAGCTAAATTATATTTCTGATTATAATATGACAATAATAACAATAAACAATTTTTACTTCTCTTCATCTCCATTAACTCCTGCTGCTGTTCCTGCCTCTCCAAGAATTCCTTAAGCTTGACCCAAA